CCGCGCTGGTCGACGAGAGCCGTCCTTGGGCAATTGTGTGTGTGTATGAGTGAGGGAGGGAGGGAGGGAGTGGGTGTTCCTCGGAAATGCTGAGGAGAGAGTGGCAAGCAGCGAGACGAAGAAGGTGTAAATTGATAGGGGTAAGTGTAATTGAATTGAAACGACACGCGCGAGATGCGCACATTAGCCTGGTTTTCGCCCGTGATGAAATTTCAGTCACATGTGGCGCCCGCCCCGCGTATCGATTCGATCCTCGGCCACACCACCACCTCTCACCACCTTGTCGTACGTCCGGGCCGGGACGAGGGTCGAAGTGCCGTCGCAAGATCCACCAACGTCGGTCGATCGTGTCGGCCAGTGGCAGAGGAGGAGGGACTGCGATTAAGTGCCGCCGCTGAGTGCTTGACAACGTCGAACGGTCGATTATCCGGCTTTGGTATTTACTTAGCGGCGCATAAGCCGGCGTTTAACTCGAGTGGTGTGTTCGACCACATTCGGGTCGGATCGTCATTTGGACGAGCAGCCATTTGACTCGCCGAGGTTGTGTTGACTCAGCGGCGTGTAAAGTGACTCCGTCTAGTGGCGTAATCGCTGCCCATATTACAGCAGTCGCTTACTCGCGTCGTTGCCGCCGTGGTCTGTTTTTGCCGTCTTCGTCAGCCGGCCGAAAACTACTCCCGACATCGAGCCGACTGGTGGTAAGTGATTTGTCGACAGAAGCGCAATAAATTACTGTCACTTACGCCGCTGAAACAACTTATTATGGACGTGTTTTCGCGTCGCTAATGAGACACATAATGGGGTCGAACGAAGGCGAAATCAATAGCAATCGCCACAACGATCGATGATCTCAAATGAGGTACAGCTTATAGCTTCCTCAGCTCTGACGCTGCAAACTTTCTGATATACTCCCTCGGTCGCCTCACCCTTGTGCTTCAAAGTTTCATGAATTGCGAATGTCTCGAACGGATCGCTTTCGCGAGTGACGGAGGCTAACTACGGCTAATTTCAACACCGAAATAGCGGTTGCGGCCTTTAGCATCGCTGGTGCCAACCAATGACACTTATAATGAAGAGGTAAATAAGAGAAACCCTCAATGAACGGTTGAAGACTGCGTCTGAG